GGTTGCCAGTTCCACATCACTGAGAAGCTTGTCTGTCACATGCCAGGGCTATATGAATTAAGATCTTTCTTTTTTTTTAGGGGCCATATCATATACAGTTATTTGCTTTTCAAATCTGATACTTCTTGTGTCTCTCCCAAATCACTACGGTTCTTTGGCTTTTAGAATAAATAGTTGATAGTAACACAATGCTTCTAGTATCCTGCTTTCCTACCCGTATGCCTGGTGGAATGATAGGAAATATCTTGGCCCTACTAATTTGGTGGAGCCGTGGCCCAATTTAAGACAAACTGATATGCAAATATACACACTTATGAAATACATTAGGGTATGATTAGTAACGCTCCAAAAATTGTTAGTTCTAGGTTGTTTTAACATTCACGTTTTATTATCTTACATATCACTCTGCAGGAATATGTATATAAACTAAGGTGAAACATCTCTATAATTATCCTAAGCAGTCCCTGTTTTACATGTACCCCCACAGTGGATAAGTCAGACGCTGCTTAATGCAGTCACCTTTTCAGCATTTAAAAGTGGGCATTGGGTTTGTGTTGAATCAGGAATTCTTTTTGGGAAAAAGAAAGCAGCAGCTTCCAAAGAATCCAGAATTTCAAAAGGTCTCGCTTATTTGTAGGATATTCTGTCAGCCCTAGATTCGAGGTTCAGAAGGTGCTTTTCATTTTGTTTTCTCTCTCTTCTGATCTCAACTCTACTACGCTTTTCCTTAATCATTAAGGCTTCATAGACCTTTCTTTCCAAGTTATTTCAAAGATACAGAGATGTTCAAATAAGCACATGATGGACTTTTTCTGCCAGGGATAGAGTACGCAAATCATCTTCCCTGGTCTCAGTATGTAATTAGTGCCTGGAATTTAGCATCTCCCCCAAACACCTGGCAATATTGAATAGGAATCTGGGCAGGATGAGTAATGAAAGAAACGTGGATGCACAAACTTTCTGAAAGATCACAGTGACCTTTATACACATGACTGAACTGACTTATGATGGTCAAACATTTTTTATTTTTGGTCAACATAAGAGCGACCATTAAGAAATGATTCAACTTTTTGACAACTTACCTACTTTAATGATCTCAGTGACCCAAACAATTAGACTTAACTTAACTATTAATATTATCAGTTGCTGAGCTAAACCAACTCTACTAGCTGAAGCCTAACGGATAGACAAGGATCATTCTCAAACAAGTGATTAGACTCGATCAGACACACGAGCAGAGGTAGGGTGGGATGTTCATGCTCATCGTATTGGTTTTTGCTTTATCTGCCCCCTTCCTTTTTTAATGAACAAGAACATTGGAATTCCATTAGAAAGGCACTCATCGTGTGCCTCGGTTGAAAGCCTTTTCCCCCCCTCTTCCCTTAAGAAGGGTAATACTAAACTCAGCAGTGAAGCAAAAGGCAAAGCTGCTTTAATTAGCTTATGTTGTAACTAACTTTATTAAAGGAATCATTGAACCTTCCGCGAAAGCCATAAAAATCACGAGAGAGCACCATGGCACTGTGGCAGTCTAAGGGTCTATACCTGACCTTGTCCCAGTCAACATTTTTATCAGTGACTTGGGCAAAGATATTTCAATTAAGTGTTCATACAAGGTTGGAACTAATACAAATGTTAGATGCCAACTGCATTGGGAAGGCTACTCGATTGCCTGCCCTTGGGCTCTATGCTTAGAGCTGGGATCCCCATTGCTTCTATCTCATTACTTTTAATATGCATATATAAAATAGGGGGCCCATGTGGCTTGAAATGCCCCAAACCCACAGACTTCTAAGGAGAATTCTGATGAAAAGCAGTCCTGACCGATTGGAAAGATAGGCTCAAATAGTCATTCTCAAGCCAGGGGGGTGTTTGTACATGCGGCCTTTTTAGTAATGATTAGAGTTGGCTACTGGCATTTAAGGGAAGGGGACCAGCAAGAGATGCTAAATATCTTGCAATGCATAGGAAAGTCCTAGGGAAGGAAGATTCTTCCCAAATCGCCACGGTGACTTTGTTGAGAAACCCTGGGCTGCAACAAGCAAAATATAATTTCTTAACAGAAATAAATATAAAATTCTGCATTATTGGTTAAGCAATCAATTGCATAAGAACAGGAGAGGGGATATGTGGCTTCAATGCAGTTCATGTAAAAAAGACCTGAGCCTTTAGTTGACCACAAGCTCAACAGGAAGCAAGACAATGAGGCAGCTGCTCAAGAGCTAATGCACCTTTAACTGTGTGTTGGTGTTCAGATCAAGGAGGCAAGAACCCTACTGGAGTCTGCAGTAGTTACACTGGACATGTCAAAATTTTAGAAGAGTGGGAGTGAACTGAAGCTACCTAGTATAGGACAACTGGAGGGGTAAAAACGTGGAAACCATAACATATGAGAAACAGTGAAAATAACTGGTGTGTTAAAGGAAAGATGAGTAGATTGACTGAAGGAAAATTAGAGAGCACTTTGATGGCTCTCATCCAAAGGACTGAGTGGCAGAGCTGGGGAGGACTGAGTGAAGGGGGGCACTAAAGCAGTCCTTTCTGTCCTTCAGTGTTGGCCAATTCCCTTGCAGAGGACCGATGCCATCACCCTTCACACAGGGGCTTGGTGACCTCCTGGCAGGGATGCTAAAAAGGGTGCGAGGTGAGACTGGATGACCTCAAAAGGTGCCTTTCAACCTTCTATGATTTTGGCATTTTATGTGTCTCACTCTCAGGAGGCTTCTTTACCTGGTCTATTGTCACCTGCTCAGCCAATCATACTGATCTTAAAAAGAAAATTGTTTTCTTCTGCTCCTACAATTCAGGGATGCTAGTAATACTGGTACCTAATTACATATAATGCAACTTTGGATGGAGGAGAGCATGGGGAAAGGCTGCCAAAGTAAAAGCAAAATTTACTATCTGGACTCCAACCTGCTCATGAATAGCCCATATTTGTTTTCTTAATTATTAGCCATCCACAGTATAAGATGGACATCATGCCTCTTTATGTCAATATATAATTGATGGATTAATGGGAAATTTTCTTATGCAGCTTCATTTAGGCAAATCCATTGATCTGTTGTCACATCATTGGCTGATTTGGAGGACTCGTTCTAACACTGATTCACTTGTGTCCCAATCACGTCACTTCAAGTAGACTTGAAAGTAGTCCAGAGTAAAAAGAACCATAATATCCAATATAACCCATGTGGCTGGGCTTAAATGATTATCAAAGACAGATGATCTATACTGATAACTACATTATATTAAAAGTTGTCCCTTCTAGGCTTGAGATAGTCTCTGCTGGACACCTTCAGTCTCAATATTGAGTAAGTGTAAGTGTGTATTTATTCCTGGCTATTTATTCTCATTCTATAAAAATGAAATCACAGATACAAGCCAGAAGTGCCAACCTATTAAAGAACCTTGGTAGGCACAAATCTTAATAACCCTTCTGGTCTAGCTTGGCTGTTGAGCTATTCCTAGAAAAGATTTTAAAAGCATCATTCATCTGAGACAGATATTATTTCTGTCCTTCACTGCAAGTCAAAGATATATACTGGGCCACTCTGGACAAATATACTTTTTTAGCTGATGTAGAAAGATCTGCCTGGCAGTGGCCCTATGGTATAAGCCCTGAAATGTACATTTAATCCACATAACACACATGATGGGAGCTGAAATCTTAGCTGAGGGCTTAATTTCAATGTCGATAAAGAATGTATCCAAGTAAACACCACATTTCTTAATCTAGTTGGTTTTCACAGTATCAAACAGCATATGTGAGTTTCAAAAATACTTAGCAGTTCCTCAGTTGAGATTTTGTTAAGTTGAATTCAACTCTAGAGGTAAAACTTGCAAAAAATAAATAATGGGTTATTTGAAATAGCAATTTCTGTTGCTTTTGATTTAGTTTTGTTTTCTATTCGTTGGTCAGAAATAAGTTCCTCAAATGCAAAGCCCAAATTTAGCTCTAGTATTTCACATTCCCCTTTTCTGGCTTTATTTGAGTTTATCCTCTCTAGGCATTTCCTTTAGGCAGGCAGAAGAGTGAAGATCTATCATTTCTGACATTCTGGTCAATAAGCAATCCATTATAAATGTTCTTTAAGACTAAGGCCATTACTCCTGCATAGGTGACAAAACTTTGGCCAACTAAAATGAAGCCCATTACTATAGGATATGCGAAATGAGATTGGAGAAGAGCCATAAGAGGGTTTAAGTTGCTTTAAACCCAAGCTTTTTCCTCTTGCTTTTGACCTACTCAATAGCCAAGGATTGCATGACATGTGGTCACTTCAATTTTTATATATTGTCAATAATAAAGATAGCTTTCCGGTGGCCTATAAATCCATGTGCTTTAAAGGTAAATCTCTTCAGTTACTTTAACTTACCAGGAAGGTTGGTACAATGTTCTTAAAACTTCAGTGAATATATTGTATAACTGGTATAATCATCATTTAGAAACTGCTAATTATTTTTGCCTTTAGAACAAAATGGTATCCAAATGTGACCAAGAATACAGGCAGACACAAAGGCAACCAAGCTTTTGTGCATAAGTGCATATATAGCATGAGTATACAAAACGCAAGGAAAAGAATTAATAGGCTCATTTTGATCCCGATTATCTCTGGAAGACATTTCCTTAGGTGCTTCTGAGATGATCATAATGTCATCTGGTGCACCAGGACCTTGGCTTGTCCTTGTTCCTCACAGTTCCATAACCCTGGGTTTGAAAATCACTATTGCCTCCCTCCCCGAACATCCAAAGAGCATGCCCATTAACATCACACCCCTGCTGCCCATCTATACAAGGAATTGTGCCTGTTCCATTGCAAGGGGATGCTGAGCAGGCCATGTCCTGCAGACTGCAGGAGGAAGGCCACAGGCCCTGGGTATGGCCTTTGCTGACCACATTCCAGCTTTTAGCTCACCAAAGAGAACTGGGCACAGGCAGACTCAATCTGCTTCAAGTCTACGTTCCATGGCCCTGAAACTCTTGGGCAACATTATACCTTTTCTTCACTGCTGATGTTCCGGGTGGAAGTTCTCCAGGTGATGGAGGGAATGGGGTCCCCAGAAGCTTCACAGGTGAGAGTAACCTGCTCCTCCAATTCCATGGCAGTCTGGTTCTCTACATAAGTGATTTTGGGTTTTGCTGCAAAGACAAAACATTTCTTTGAGTTTACCTAATTACTTAGCTTTCTGGCTTTAAATGATGATGTGCACCCATTCAACTAAGGTTATCTATGTACAAAATACAAGGCCCTGATCTAGATGTTTTAGGAGATCGAGAGCTGAACCTCCAAGAAGCTTACAATGAAGTGGGCATGTGAAAGCTCAGAAACCACAGGAATCATTACAACAAACTTATCCTGTAGAATTCAAATGCTAAGAGCAATGGATGTGGGGGAAAGACGTGGAGGAAGAACACTCCCCTGGTTGGAGCCTTTAAGAAGAGACAGCTTTGAGGCTGGGCCATTAGATTTTCAGCAAGTAGAACTTTGGGGTAGAGACAGGGTCTTTCCAAGTGCAGAAAACTGCTTGAATAAAAGCAAAGAAGGGAGAACATGTGTAGAGAGGGCTGGGAAGAGAGCAGCGTGGCGTGAGGCAGAGGGAGGCAGGCTGGATTGGTAGAATTTTACCCACTGGCTGGTGGGGCCCAGACCACCGGCAGAGTTTGGTCAGGGGAATGGGGTCATTCGTATTTCAAGAAGCTTAGTCTAGGAAAATTTTAAGATGGTTTAGAATGGAGAAAACCTTGAGGTGGGAAAACCAATATGGAAGCCCTGGCAATGACCTGGATGTGAGGTAACATTGAGCCCTGAACGAGGCCGTTTCGGGGGAACAGAAAGTCAGGACAACTTTAAGAGAGATGCTGAAGGGAGGTTTGGGGGACAGAGCAAATGGATGGAGGGCACGTAGGGATGGAGAGAGTCAAAAGAAAGAGTAAGAAGGAGTACAAATGACTGTGACACTTAATGACTAGAAGATGGTGTCAGTAGACGAGGAACTGGGCGGGGGCTGGGGACGGGCTGAGGAGGGGAAGGAGATGAGTTGAGATGAGTTCATTTTCCAAATGTTTTGGGTAATGCAAGAAAACACAAGCACTCCAAAGCAGAGTTAAACGTTAAAACATTAGAGAAAATTGAATTTTGCCAATTTAAAACAATTATGCTCTGAAATTGCTGAACTTTCCATAGAAGAGAAAAGATAACTCTGCACAAATGTAACTTATTTCACTAATAGAGAAAAAGGACAGGCTAGACAAACAAGCAAACAAAGAAATCAGAATTGTAGCTGGTTTTTGAAATAACTACATTTGCTTTATATTCAAACTCATACAGGAACGCCAAGTAGGCTAATGAAGCACTGCCTGTGTATAGCCTCCAAGTTGAGGTCTTTGCTGCTGCTTTAATAAATGGAAAACAGTGATAGAGCTATACATTTTTTGTAGCAAATGCCTGCTTCTATATAAAAACACCTATCTAGTTCAAATATTCTCATAAAGTTAATCTGTACTAACTAACAGCTTGCTAGCAAATTCTTTTCTGATGGATGGTACGTAAGGCACATCCCAACCCAATGTGGCCAAATGGTCACAAATTTGAGTTGATTAAGTCCACATGGATGAGGTTTTCCTAGAGAAGGCTTTGAGTTTATCTTGATAAATATGATTTTCAAGGAGGTTATAACTTGTATTGAAAGGACTAAGTTCTAAGTGCCATTGAATAGGATTATTTTAAGAGGGTAAAATAATGTAAAATACAGGTAAAATAAAATAAACCGAAAACACAAAAAGGTAAAGAGAATAAAGTAAAATAAAGGTAAAGTAAAAGTCAAATTTCTATACTGTCAAAATCACAGAATGAAAAAAGTAAAACAAAAAAAATTCAGCCAAACGACTGAATTTACTAAACTGAACAGTTGTTTTGGGGTCTGGAGATAGTCCTAGGGAGGCTGAATTTCTGCCCTCTTGGGACCTGGTCAGACTCTGAGATCTAGACAGTGTTTCTCTGACCTTCTCCTGACCTACAGCATTTTGTCCTGGCAGCCAAAGGTTAACAGAAGACAGACAAGGGTCAGTTAACATCTATTAATATTTGGTCTCGGTGGCTCCATTTCCCACATGGTTACAAAGGGCGCATTGTACAAGTCCTCAGAAAAAAGTAAACCATATTCTTTTTAAAAACATTATTAACAGTGGCTAATCTTGTACAGTCTACAGAGGGCTGCTGGAAGGAGGGCGAGCTTCTCACTGATGACTTAATCTTCTCTGACTCCAGAGGCAGTGCTACTGTCAGACCTAACTTTGAAGGTTTAGAATATCGCCTTAGCAAAAGCGATGTATGTAATTTTTTGTCTAAATTGGGACACTCTTGAGAATGAAGAGGGGTGCTCTAAATAATTACATCAGGACAAGGGGCATTATTGGGCAAACAAGGACACATGCTGGGTCACCCGGCTTAAAAAAGATTCCCTCCCTCTGCATTCCAGCACCTAGAGGAATCTCTCCAGGTCACACCTTCTGACAGTCCTTGCTGCATCTTAATTAAGCTCTGCTGTGGGCCCTTAGCTTTTGGATCCCTATTCTATTCTCCTCCTGCCTCCATGGGACTTAGTGCCTCGGACTATTCCACTGCACCTTTCCCCAGGGACCCTCTGGTAAGCACAGCTGTCCTGGGAGTGTGCCAAGCAGGCCTGCCACTCAAAGCCAGACTTGTCTACTCCCACTCCTCCAATCCAGGCTCCTGCAACCCTAGCCCAGGGAGTGCCCTGAGGCCCCTGCTTTGCTGAACAAAGATCTTGGACAGTATACCTGGGCATGCCCAGGTGCACCTTCCTTCAGGCTCCTGCTTGTTCTCTGCCGTATCCCTCAAGGATTGCTTTAGTCACGAGGTGTCAGCTAAGCAAGGCTTCTGTCTGCTGGTGAACTAGCCCACAGCAGTAAGAGACCTCAAGAGCTTTAACACGAGATAATAAGCATCTGGGGAGACGAAACTTCTTTAGAAGGGCACATGGGGAAAGGAGCAATGGAAATTCACTGCCAAATTTAAAGAAAGGTAGGATGCAACTGCTTAGTAAAAAGAGCACCTAGCTAATAACTAGGGCAATGCATGCTAGAATGTACCCTTCTCTTAGGAAAAAATGATGTCATTTAGGTACAATTGTGACAGTCCCTAACTTAGATATGTCCCTTACCTACTGACTGCCATCCCTTCTTGAAGCTACCAGAGTTCTGAGCTCTTCCTTACTATCTAAGCTACAGGATTCTTTCCTCTTCTACCTCTTGCTGTAGACTCTGCTACTGCTGGGGGACCTGCCCTGTTTCTCCACCAGTGATGCCGGAGGGTGTTTATGTGTCCAAGGTGGAGGGTGGGAAGACAAATCCTGTGTTGCCAATTCTCCCATCCGACTTCCCCCGCCTCATCACCTCCTCCCCTTGACCTGGCCCACTTTCTTCATTAGCCCATGGTCCCACGTGGTCCTGCACTCACTACCACCCACCCCTCTTTCCTGGGGCAGCCTCACCACCAGAGAGGCCAGGAAGGGAAGCTGAGATCTGCTCTTGCCCAGCCACGTCAGAGCTGAGTGTGCTCCTACAGAGAAACATGAGCTACGTGGTGGTAGAGGCAGAGTGCGCTAGTTCTAGTATTGCTGGTCATTCCCTATGTGATCTAGACACAGTGTGTGTTCTCTTGGGTTTCATGGAGTGGCAACCACCACTGTGAGCTTAGGGAATGGAATTTGAAGCCAACTGCCTTGGTTTGAGTCCTGGCTTCTTGGGTGGAGCAACCTCATCTCTCTGTGCTCAGGGTCTTCATTTGTGAAATGGGGATCATAATTAAATCTAGCTCACAGGGCTGTGATGAGGATTTAAAAGAGCTAATTTATGGATAGCACTTCACATAGTGCTTGGCATATTATAAGTGCTTGGTTTGTGTTGGTTGTTATTATTATTACTTTATGGGGTTAATGTCTAAAATATTAATAATTTCCTAAAGACAAATGATGATAACATGTTTCCAGGCTCATCTCCCTGCCACGTGTGCTATGCTTCATTCACATGGAACTAATGGCAGTCCCTTCATTTATTCGAATACTAGTGCCTATTATATGCTAGGTACCGTCCTAGGCTCTGGGGACATATCTGTGAGTGTAACAGACACAGCCCGTCCACAAACAGCTCTCGCTCAGCAAACATATGCTTTTCCTACCTCTGTGTCTGTACACAGGCGGCCTGAAATGGCCAACCACCCCATCTTCTGCTGGGTAATGCCTACTCGTGAAATAGCACGTGGTTGTGATGACTCTTTTTTTTTTTTTTTTGAGACAGAGTCTCACTTTTTTGCCTGGGCTAGAGTGACATGGCATCGGCCTAGCTCACAGCAACCTCAAACTCCTGGGCTCAAGCAATCCTTCTGCCTCAGCCTCCCGAGTAGCTGGGACTATAGACATGCGCCACAATGCCCAGCTAATTTTTTCTCTATATTTTTTTAGTTGTCCGATTAATTTCTTTCTATTTTTAGTAGAGATGGGGTCTTTCTCTTGCTCAGGCTGGTCTCAAACTCCTGAGCTCAAACAATCCGCCTGCCTCGGCCTCTCAGAGTGCTAGGATTACAGGCATGAACCACCGTGTCCGGCCGTGATGACTTCTTCAACTTATGTCATGAAGGACCAGAAATCTTTCCTGTAAAACGCTGTGCATATTGCTCTTATGAAGTCATTATAATGGGTTGTCATTTCAGATTCCAGCGGTGACCATCTACATTAGCCTGTGAACCTGCTCCTGAGGACAGAGTCCGTGCTGTTCACCTCTGTGAACTCAGCAACGGCTGGGTCCATAGTGGGTTAAATGCTGCTGACACTATTATAACTTATATGCTTATATGTTTATCTCCCTCTTGGTGCTTCTCAGGGTCAAGGGGCCATATCCCTACTCATCTCTGTAGCCCCTTTGTCTAGCAACAATGATGCCCAATAAATATTTATTAAATGAAGGAATAAATTAACAAACGCACCTGTATTTTTCTATAATATGGGAAAACTTAATAAAACCTCAGTGAGAAGACTCTCAAGAATATTTTTCAAGAAGTTTAGCATTCACTTTCAAGTACCTATTACACAAGTAACTTGAACCAAACGGATAACCTGTTTCTAAACCCAGTTGTCATTACGGAATAAACAGCAGGTCATTTGCATATGAACATTGATTTTCAAAGGTCTGTGTTTACAAACGGCTCTCCTGATCAGGCTAAACAAACAGGGTTCAACCCTGGTTTCCAGATGCACTGGAACAGCCCGTCTGGCATTTGTACTCTAGAAGCACCTTCTACAGGTGACCACCTTATCTGTGTTTTTCAAACAGATGTGAAGACAGAGTTGAGAGCCACTACGTTAAACATTTCTCTGCAACAAATGTTCTCTTTTCAAGGTCAGGTCAAAATGCATTTCAGTTCTGAAAGAAATGAACATTTTCTGAGTGTATGAAGATAGAGTGAGTAGAGATGTGGTGGCTCTTTTCATGACGTCCTGTGACACTGCTTAACACAGGCAGGGAAGGACGCAGAGGAGGCGTGGCAGCCAGCCAGTTGGGCACTGTGTTTACCAAGGGCCTATTGTGGATCCGGTGCATTTAGAGTCAGGGAAGATGCGATGTACAAGACAGCCAGCGTTCTGCCGTCTTGGAGTTTACACGCTAGTGGAGGTGAAAGACGAACAATCCCCCAAACAGCTTCGTAGATGAGATTAATTCGTGTTCTGACAAGTGCAATAGAGGAGGTAAGAGCCATGACAGAGGTGAGTGGTGGAGGTGGGTGGGCATGGGGATGGGGGAGCTGTACTACCCAGGGCAGTGGGGGCAGGAATCCTCGAGAAGGTAGGTTTGGGTTGAGATCTGCATGATGGATCAAAAAGCTGGCTTGGAGGGGACATGAGGAATGATATTCCAAGCAGAAGAAATAGCAAGTGCAACGTCCCTGAGACAGGGAACAGGCTCGGTGTGTCCGAGGGACAGAAAGAAGGCCTGTGTGGTCGGAGAGCTTCAAATGTGGAGCACAGTGAAGGAGAGACGAGGCTGGAGAGGAAGGTTTGGCCTTGTAGGCCCTGATGGGGGGTCTGGATTCCATTCTGGCTGCAAGAGGAAGCCGCTGGGGGATTTTAAACAGATGAGTGGCACTTAGGCCACTTTGGCTACCATGAGTAGAAGGGAATGAAGGGGACCGAGAGGGAATGCAGGGAGACCAGCAAGGAGACCGTCCCATTGTCCAGGTGAGGCTGACAGTGGCCTGGACTACGGCTTAGGTGGTGGAGCCGGTGAGAAATGGTCGCGTTTGGGATACATTCCAAGGTGGCGCGAACACAGTCTTGCTGATAGGTCAAGTGCATGGTATAAGAGGAACTGTGGCAGAGCCATGACCTTGGCCTTACCAAAGACTTTGAGGTGGATGGACGCATCCTGCTCTCCAGCCTTGTTCTCAGCAATGCAGACGTACTCAGCCTCATCGTTCTTGTCCACCTTCCTGATGGTCAGCTCAGAGCTGTCATCGCTGAAGATGTACTTCTCATCGTCTTCCTCATTCTCTATCTGTTCTCCATCCCTGCAGGGTAAAGAAACGCAAAGGAGCATGATTTTGACCACAGAGTTGAGATGTTTATTTGTAATTACTTTGCACAGAATGCTGACAACTTGGTGTCACAAAACGTTAAGACACCAAGTTGTACTTCCGCATATACCTTTTATTTCTCTACTCATTCTTGGGACTCTATCCAAGGGCTCCAAACTACACAACATGAAGGTTTCAAAGAGTCCTCCCTACCCGCAAGGCTACACCCTCTGGTTCTGCCCCTGCAAGACTGGAAATGAAGGAACAATTCAATGCACAAGGCAAGAGAACCTTACAGAAAGAATCCATTCTTCACCTGCAGATAACACTCCCAAGAAGCCTACATCTAATCTGCTATAATGCCAGAATGGACCAGACCCTATGATGCCCCCTTTTCCATTCCATGATAAAAGCCATGAGCCAGTTTCTTACTTTGTCCAGCTCATGGTGGGCTCTGGGAAGCCGTCAGCGTCGCACACCAGGGTGACGGACTGTCCGAGGTTGGCGGTGGCATTCACAATGTTCTGCCTGGCCTGCACGGTGGGTGGCACTGAAGGAAAGAAGGGTGTCAGATGTGGTTGTGAAAACTTGGAAGAACCCAAAGGCCTGGAGAAGAGGCACCTCCAGGGGCCCCCAGGTCAGGGGGTCTCAGCCTGGGAGTCAAGGGTCCCGGGTGGCTGCAGAGTCAGTGTAAGTAATCTAAGTACGTGTGCGTATTAAATTAACTACTGTAAAGTGAATAGGCAGTTCTCCCACAGACATGCATTCTTGTTTTCCAAGAGTTGAGAAGCTATAAAAATACATTTTACTCATGTTAAAACAGTATTCGATTTATAGTAGCTATTTTTCATTATACAGTTTCTCAATCAATGCATATTAAATATAATAGCTACAAGGGTCAGTGGAACTTGACGCTAAAAAGGGGCTCTTCATACTGGAAAAAGTTGGAAACTACTGCTCTTGGTGGTTAGATGGTTAATGCCAATTGGAGACGCACCAGCTCCCCAGAGAGTGACATTTCTCTGTGATTGTCATAAACAACCTTGTGCACAAACTGTTTTTTACCAAAGGAATGAGAGGGGGAGAGTTTGGCAAAAAAAAAATATGTATCAATAGTCAAAACAATTCAACCATGATTTACTTATTTTCTTAGTACTGACATTATAATTTCCTGTAAACATCTTGTAAATGTCAGATCGATTCCATGGGTGTGTTTATTTGACATTGCAAATTAAGATTAATAAGCCCACGGACCATGATTCTGACTCTTCTGAGGCCTGAATTGATTGTAATACTTTCCTTGAACATTGAACAGGGAACTAACTTCAGGATTACAGTGACATCGAGGACAATGAGGGGGAAGAAGAATTTATCAGTAAGCATGGGGAAAGTTTCTAGTGCTGCAAGACAGTGAAGGACATTCAATCACTATACAAAAAGCCCTCACAGTTGAGGGGAGATCCAAAAGGCAAGTGTATTTTTAAAAAACCAAAAAAGTCCCCCACAGGTTATGGTGGGAAGGGGATGCAGCTGAGATGGATGAATGAGTCAGGGCAGGATTTACTTTATAGACAAAAGAGGAATTAAAGAGAATGGTTTTGGGAAACCAAGGTCGTAGCAATGCAGACAGAGAGCAGGAAGAACGGATCTCCTCACCATTCACAACGACCTGAATGTCCTTGAAGTTGATCTCCCCCCGCGCCAGGATCCTGCCCTCACAGCGGTAAGTGCCCTCATCTGTTTTCTTGATGCCTCGGATCTGCAGGTAGTTGTTGGACAGGACTATGAATCGGACTAGAAGAGACAAGAGGCGGGTTCACCCAAGGATCAGTCAGAGAACTCTGGTATCTGCAGGCACTTAGCTCAGCCTCTTTCCTTCTCCCTAACTTCAGTCCCATCGGGTGGGGTTGTAAGCTGAAATAAGAAAATGTGTCCCTGGCTCTGAAATACAGCCAGGAACAAAAGTCTACTGGAAACTTGTCTTTTGCTTTGAAGAGGAAATCAAGTGTCTGAATGTCTATACCAGCTATAGACGTATTTCCATTCAGGACCTGGAAACTGCATGCAGGTTCTGGTACACCTGAATCTGAGTTCGGATTGGAATGTCTCAGGTGCTGGTAGAGGTAGACAAACTAAGGAACTTGGTGGCCCAGAGGAAAGACAGCTGCCGGGAGATTCGGGTCTCACCGTCTTTTTTCAGGACGACATCTCGGCCTTTGTGTTTCCAGATGATGGTTGGTGGGAGGGAGCTGACCACATCGCACACGATCACAGCATCCTCCCCCTCCCTGAACTCTTGTGGGGTTGGTGCATTCTTGAACATGAGCTTCTCTGGAAAACGAGCAGAAGAGTGAAGGAGAACAGCTGGCTCTTCCACAAAGATCCCTTTCCACTAGAGCCATGCTGCCTGGATTTGAATCCCAGGCAAGTTGGATCCTGATATACGCTGTATGAGAAGGGCACTTGGCCACAAACGCCAGGTGGAGCAGCTGGCAGAAGCAGGGGAATATATTATCAGTGCTCGACACCCAATATCTACTCACTGAGTGCTACATTTATCACACTTTGTGCAAAAAAGGTCTACGGGAAGAAAGGAATGTCTTTACCAAGGGGTCACTGTCTCATGGGGTCCCTGGCCTGAGGGACAATGCCAATGAAACACAATGCCCAGGTAGAATGAATTGGGAGGACACCTGTTCTACAATGAGTAACAGCAGTCATCAGTCCCTTTTTTGTCCCCCGCTTGGACCCCTACCCCCAGCCCCACCCCAACTTCCCTACAGAATAGAGAATGCTGAAGAAAAGATCATAGGGAAATCACACTTAGTGGCAATACACACAGTGGCAATCAATACTGTTCCATTAGCTGTCGCCCTCCATTACTCTGATCAACGGGACACATGCATGGTAACAAGGTAATGAGATGCCACCTCCAGACGGGGTTTCAGTGGCAATGGGAACTTCCTGCTCTGAGTGGCACAGAGTGTTCAAATAATAATCCCCCATCCTACGGAGCCTTTGGGCAGGGCAGAGTGAAAGAAGACAGGAATTGTATAAGCTCAGTCAACGCTTGGGGAACAGACAGATGAGCCCCTAACAGACCTCTGGGAGCTGTGTAATTTGAATTTAGAGACTGGTGGCCTTTGGGGGGTAGCTGTGACCACTGTGAACCAGGGTTGTGAGTTCTGAGTTGGCCAAGCGTTGTTTAAGAACGTAGTGGGGCTCTGAGCTAAGTCAGAAAAGACTTAGGGGGAGAAGAAGGGACCTGTGAGGCCCTCCGCTGGTCTTCTGTTGCCATCTCACCCTTCCTACAACCCACGTGTCTCCTTGACAAGGAGAGGACACAGAACATAGGAGAAGAAGGAGGCTCTTACGGAAGATCTTCACGTTGACGGTGGCCTCCGACTCACTGCCATCCTCGCCAGTGACCACACACTTGTAAATGCCGGCGTCGTCGATGTTGGCGTTGTAGATGGTGAGGGTGGAGGAAGAATCGTCGTTCCACACCACTGAGATCCGCTGCTGGTTCGGGGTAAGCTTTTCTCCGTTGGGGGAGAACCAGGAGATGTCTTTATCTTTGGCATCTCCTGCCACTAAGGAGGAAGAGATTATTTTTAAACTACCGAAGTTGAAAGGACTAAGTCCCTTCCAGAGTGGGGGACTCAGCAAGAGTAAATGAACAAGAGATCAATCAAGGTTTCAACATCGGGGAGGGCTGACCATTTACGTTAGAACGATATGTAGTCCTTCTTGGCTTCTGTGTAACTAGTATATACATGACACCTCTGGCAATAGTTGAAAAGAACTCAGCAACCGCTTGTGCTGATTTATTTATTTTAAATCAGGGTCCTACCTTTAGTGAGGGAAGAGATATTTGTTCAGGACCTACTGTCTGCTGGAAATTATGTGCCTCACAGAGAGGGGAATGAAAGGAGTTAGTATATCTAGGATCTGCGCCCAGGGGCCCAGCTGCTCTGAGCCGACTGATCATCTTGTTTTCAAAGGCTTAGATTATGGTGTCCTGAGCTGAAGCTGAGATACTGGCTAGCGTAGCAGTCCAGATTCCAACCACCTTTATTCTAGCATCTGCCTGCACCAAACTGGCGTAACTGGCAGCACCCCCTGCCTCAGACAGACAAATCCACCTCCTCCCATGCTGTAAGGAAGGTAGCCAGAGCTGGCCAGGCCTCCTTCCCCAGGCACCCACGAGGAGCGGTCTGCAGCTGCAGACCTTCCCCAGACATCGAGCTGGAACAGGGTAAAGGGCTCTCAGACCTGGTGGACGTGGCTGCACCCTGCCTCTTTGCACGGCACCCTTCACAGCCCGCGCCACCCAGCCCTGCACAGATGCTTAGTATGGAAATGAAGCAGTCTCCCTTTCAAGTCCCATCATGTTCTCAATAAATATCGCTATTTGCAAGATGTGCTGTGGGCTCCACGGCTGCATCTCCAGATCATTGAAATTGCTGTAATGAAGGCAGAGCCGAGTGAACACATCCGGCGGCCACAAGCCACCTCATCCGACGCAAATCATGATAGCATTTAAGGGCCCCTCCCCGCTAAAAGCTGTTTGCTAAATGTCACAGTTTACACCTAGCTCAGCTCTTTCCTGGTTCTTCCATGTTCTGAATCCCAGTCATGTCACATACAGAGAATCTGAGCCTTAATTTGAAGCCCTTTCCACCCCAGGACATTTTCTGATAATTATCCGAGCTGTGGAAATAGGGCCTATTTTTTAAACAAAAAACAAGGATGCCAGGTGTGACATATCCCAGAACTCTTTGGTGAGGACTATGGAACAGAATATTGGTATTCACAATAGATCTGGAAAACGCAGGATATATGTACTTAAAACAAGTAACATACCAGAATTCAATTTACTTTCAGGCAAGTTTTAGACCTTCTTAGATATTCAAGCTCTGGGTGATTCTAAGAAATAGGCCTTAGATCGACCTATAGCATTATTTCTGAGCTGGTGCTGCTCTCCATTGTCATTTATAGAACTCTGGGTGTTTACAGAGCAGCACATCTGGGATGATTCAATATTCTGGTAGTTGTGCTGATTTTCCTAAGAAAACTCCGAGCCTCCTCCATTGTCAAGCTGAAGTCTAGAGGACACATTCCGCTATGTTGAGGCAGCCTGTGTGAGGGGAAGGAAAGGGCCTGAGAGCTCGCCTGGCTCTTGAGTGGTCACACTACTGACCCTGTAGCAGAGCGATGCCCAGAATTCTAGGTGGGGTGCGATCAGCCCGGCACACATGGCCCACGGGTTTCTGCTCTGTCTGATGAATTTCTGAAGCAAATTCTAAAATGCAGTGGGTGGGGCTCAGGGCACTTGCCTTGGCATAAGAAGAATTTGGACTCTCCAACGCTGATTTCCCCTTGGCTGGGAACAATATCCACCTGCAGAGAAACTGAAAAAGAAAAAGTCCAGTTCAAATATACATTCTAATTTTAGAGAATAAAATCCACAACTTTCATTCAAAAGCAGGGTCCCTCGGCTCACTTTAAGAAAGAGTGAAGGGAGGAGGTTGTTTGGGTTTTGGGAACTTGTCACCACCAAAGTGTCCTCACACTGCAGCCAGGAGTGGACACAGCCCAGACCATTGCCATCCCCTATCAGAGAGTGCAGGTCCCCCGGGAGATTCGGAGTGATGTCTGCCCTAAATGTTTCGGGCCCTTTGAGAAGGCTTATGGTCCTGCTCCAAACAGCCACACTCTGGAGTTCCCAGAAATAGCAGCCCAACCAGTTCCTTTTGGATGTCAATCTGAAGTGTCCCCACGGCTGTGTCAAGAGCAGGAAGCCTGATACTCCAGAACTGAGCTCAGGGGTCTCTCACAATTCCGGATGCTGCCATGCTTCGTCCTTATGGAGATTCACACTGATTTTGAGGCAGGGGATGGTTAAGAGTAAATGTTCACCTTCCCTCGTGACTATAGGATCAACACACGTGTCTCCATAAGGGGAGACAACATCAAACATCATCACCTCAATTAGTCAGATACTCTTCTGAAATCCTGTAGTCTCTGCTCTGCAGAATTCCCTGTACTCTTGGCTACTTTTTCTGAATTTTTCTCTGAATATCTATAGGCTGCCATTCCATTGCACTGATAAGACAAAATACATTGCACCAGATCGCACAGATTCCTATGTTCATCTGCTCCTTGTTTATCTGCTTGGAGCAGATAACTGTTCCTCATGAAAATATAGTTTTATGGTAGAAAATATGCTTTATTCATTCGAATTCAACTTCCTTCTGCCTCTCTTCCTCTTAAGTACAGTAAATCCAAAATCTAAAGGCCAACAGACATTTGGTTCAATGCATGGAGCTTCTTAAAGCCAATAAGGAGGGGCCTGAACAAAACAGGCCAGGGAATAGAGACTCAGTGAGCACATCCTTCCAACAGCCATTTTCTTTTCACAGTAGAATGAGGGGAATGCTGGTTGCCATGGTGACTGACTTGCAGGCAGAGCTGCCGCTGGTCTCGTTCTGTGCTCATTTGATGAAGAGACTACAGTTGCGCGCAGTGGACCATAGCGATCAAAGGGCCTGCTTGGGGCCAGGAAGGGGGTGCACGGGAGCACCCTGCTACTGGGAGTGAGGCTTTCCTAACCATCCCACCAACAGACAAGGCAGGTCATGGAAAAACCCAGCAGAGGCTGCAGGGAGGAAGGCGTGGCGTGGTGGGGACAGGAGGAGTGGGGGTTTGGGGAGGACTGGGGCATGTGGCAGAGGCAGGGTGAGGATGCCAAGCTCTCCTCTCTGAGGATTGGGGGTGGGGGTGATGCTGACTTCCCAGTGCTGGTTTGGAAGAAATGTAGTCGTCTAGGGGCAGCCAGTCTCTGCCTCCTGGGACTGCTGCTGCTTACTCATTCAAGGCTCAGGACTGAAGTCTGGCCTGAGAGCAGTTTCCTGAACTTGGCCCGCGGCACACAGAGCTGCACTAGAATACGATGCCGGTGAGGGTCATGGCGGCCACGTCCACCTGTGCGGGTGTGACCAGCTGTGCCTGCTTTCTCCCCTCATTCTCCTCCACATCGAGTTTAGGCACCACTCAGTTCCACACTGTGAGAGCCGGTGGCGGGGGAGCGGGGGGTTCAGAGGCCACCATGTCCTGCCTCCTCACTTTCCAGATGAGGAAGAGGTCACTTCTAGTTAGGGCCACGATGGCTCCACCGCCCAGGCCTGCTGGCTCGCAGGTAGGTGTTCTTTCCACTGTGCACTGCTGTCTCTGCGCAGAGGGTGAAATGTTTCCATTCGGTGCAACACACAGTCTGGGACCTGAGTACCAACCCTCAGATTCACCATCCCTTAACAGAGCAGAGCACACCCAGCGCTGGTAAGAACCCTGGTATCTGGGGGAGCCTGCGGCCTCACAAAGATGGCTGCAGGCCAGTGCCGTCCACCCTAAGGCCAGCCAGGCCCTTTCCTATTGCCGGCTGTGGCTCGCATTCTACAGGAACTCCGGGCCTGTGACACCCAGAAGCTGTGCCTATGTCATTGTCACCTAAGTCACGGACCTTTCTGGAGTTTACTGGGGCATTCTTTAAGAATGCGAGGCAGACCCCTCCTGAGGAGTTCCCTGGCCCATGTGCTGAGCATTAGCACCGGCGTCAACATATGGATCCAGTTACTCTCGTGCAGCCCTTACTGCTCTGGTAAGGATATTCTGGTCCCGAGTGAAAAAACAGCCTTCCTTTGCTCAGCTCTTTCCAAACAGAACATGGCTCTCCGGGGGCCAGAGAACATGGCCAGGCTGAGGAGTTTATACCCAAATGTGGCCAGGATCTATCTTTGGGCCATGGGGAGAAAAGAGAAATGAAAATTTCAAAGGAATTCCCAGCTTAATGGGATACCCCAAACACATTTATCATCATAGAAGTTTTTTAAAAGAAGAGACTTCTAAAAGAAGAGACTCCTTTTAGACTCCTGGCCTTTTGCACACATGGAAAAGATAGTGAATCCTCCCTCAAGACACTAGAGACAAAGCTGGGCTGGAGGGACCCCGATTCTCTGGGAATCAATGCCAGGATGTTTCCCACTGCAAAGGCACAATGACTGATTCTTCCCCAAATGCAAAGCCCTGAAATATTAGGTTTAATGACAGTAAGTGGAAATCTTGCTCCAAACTCCAAACTCTTCTCTACTTCTTGCT